TATATTATATAATATATATTCTGAGACTATCTGGTTGCAAAGATCTTATTTTTCTGTCCCTATTTCCAAACTGCAAACCCTTCCCCCAAATAGCCTATTGGCATTTTTGTAACTTTTGTAGCTTTCGTGGGTGTTATCAGAATTGTCAATGCATGCCTGAAGTGACAAGAATGGCTCGCACAACCAGGAATGATCTTGTTGAGTTGCACAACTCTGCAGGATTTTATAATCCTGCAACAGCTCATGGGAGAAGAACAGAGTTGAAATCAAGAAATCCTTCTTGTAAAAGTACAAGGATACTGATAAGTTTTAAAAAGTTTTCATATAAAAAGGGAGAATGATGCTGCAATTTTATACATGCTTTAATTAGAATTTAATGATTAAATTCTGCCACAATTTCCCCTTTACATCTAGAACAATAGACTTCATTCAGAGAACATGAGACTCAGAAAACAGCAAAGACTCCACAGTACAACCATGAACGATGTATGCTATCTTCTATTGAAATAACAATCAGGGTCTAAATTATTTTCCTTAGAAAGTAATGACTTCACACTGGGAGCCAGGAATGATCTTGTTGAATTGCACAACTCTGCAATTTATAATCCTGCAACAGCTCATGGGAGAAGAACAGGGCTGAAATCAAGAACAGGATTGTTCTCGTGACCCAGGGGTGGACTGCTGGGGGTTCGCACAGGTTTGGCTGATCCTCGAGCGAAGATTCTGCATGGTTCAGTGAACCCCCAAATCCCACTCCTGGCTGGCCCCCCGCCCCCGCCCCTCCCCTCCCAGGAGTCTCCACGTGGCCCATTTATCATGCCAGGTAAGTGCAGGCCCCACATGTAGCCTCAGGGAGGGCCTCCAGAGCCTGAGGAGAGTGAACCCCCCCCCATGGTGAAGGGGGCCACCTAGGCCACACCCACCATGGCCACACCCACCCAGCAACAGCGCAGTGAATCCGTTGCTGCAATTTTTGAAGCCCACCCTTGTTTAAGTCAGTACTTGAAAGTTCCTCCAAAACAGAGATCTGCATTCAAGTGTGGGAATGGGGTGGGTTGATGATTTCAAGAAGGGACATATGACAAAATATGTGCTGCACCATTGTCATGCAAGCTCCTCCCTTTTTGTGCATGTTGTGACTTGCATGAAAGGGGTAGAACTTTAGTTGCAGGGGCATGATACTCTTCTAGTCTTTCTGATAAAAAGGTCAGATCCTGCAGATACTTTTACCCAGTAATAATTAAACGAAAGGATTATGGAGGGAGGTGAAGTTTCTGCCACTCAAAGTGGCTGCTTTGAGTTCAGGAGTTCAGAGACAAGTTGAGCATTTCAGAATGCTGGAACAAAAAATATTAGTTTTGCTGTGGTTTCAAATACACTTCAACTCAGCCAGAAACTGATGTGCTGACTCTGTGCAATCCAGAACTGTGTTCAAACTTGTGCTATTTCTGGGACTATAAGTACTTCACATGTCTCATTGAGACATTGTCAATCCCATTAATGGAAGATGAGTAATATATTTATAGATATAATACTGCACTCATTAGTAATACAATACAACCTCAACATTAATAATGATGTTAACATTCTGAAAAAATACAGTATAAACAAGACCTGGAAAACTTTCTTATAAAAACTATAAACAATATTGATCACATTATTTAAGTAATTTTCTTCACCTCCGTACAAAGAGGATAGATAGATGATGATAGATGATAGATGATAGATGATAGATGATAGATGATAGATGATAGATGATAGATGATAGATGATAGATGA